AGAGAAGAGCGTAGCCACAAGAGAGATCAGGTGCCGAGGCGCGGCGGGGGCTCACGCAGCCGAACACATGTCGTGCAATGAGCGTCCAACCGGTATATTCAACAACAAGTACATCCGATCATTACATTGATAAACAAAATATCTATCATAATCATATCTTATGCATGTCGTGCATGTATATAGTGATAAACAAAAGCTATCTCCTACATAATTCATATCTTATTGCATTGAGTTTTTGCGTCCGGGGTAGTTACACGGGCTCTTATTTCATGTTCGCAATGGCTAATTATATATGAAATAGATGGATTGCAACCGGTATACTCAACACAAGTACACCGATCATGTACATTGATAATAGATGTAATACATGCACCAAATTATTAAACAAAAGTTCAATAATATCTTTAATTTATTTTTCTTCTGAGATCAAAGACTTGGCCTTGAGATTTCATAGTACGTGTCACAACTTTGTCTTTATATTCCTCTGTTGCATGAAGTTGGAATCTGTGTTTCTTTTGAATTTAGGCTGCTAGCAATTATGTTTCTGGTGTTGGCCTTAATTGTCTATTAGATGTCTCATCGTTTTATCTTGGTGCGCGCAATGATTTAGAACATGGTCATCCTTTTGCCAATCTTGTGAGAAAATAAGACAATTTGGTGAGTTACAGCTCGTTAACGTCGCTTTGCTTTATCGCCGAAGCAATCGCCAAAAAGGAATTATCTTTCCCAAGAATCATCAACTGAAACAAGGGAAAAAAAAGCAGAAAAAAACCAACAAAAAAAACTAGAAAAAGAGAAGTGGAAGATTCAAAAAATCAAATGAGCTAGTGCTGGAGGCATTTGTAGCGAATCCCTGGGCATTTTGCTTATCATCTAGCCTTCCTCTATATTTATAGGTAGAGTCCGAAAGATCACTATTCATACTACACGTGAATTACTGTAATGTTTTACTATATCAATGTCACTGCTGTAGCACAAAGAAGATAATGCTGTAGCGCTTTATAAGAAAATAACTCCAGTAGATTTGGCTGTGTGAATTCTATTCTTTCATTTAGGAGTAGACTGTGTTGGCTAATTTCCAAAAAAAAAAGCGGAAATAGGAAACTATCACATTTCAATGCTTTCATGACATTTCAATACATTTCAGCCAGTTTTTTTTTTTGTTTCGCGAAGAAGATTCTCCCTTGCTTGCAATGCCAAGTCACACAAAGAAAGCAAAAAAACTCTATAGTAAAAAGTGTTGGACATTTCCATTGTCTTTTGTTTGTTTAAGAGAATAATAAAAATGAAAAAGAGAGAAAACCAATTTAAATAATATGTTCTATGTCTTGCATAAACCTCAGTAAACAGTTGTTTTTAGCTAAAATTAATAATTCTCAGATGGGACCACTTCCAGTTCTCAGGCCAATTTTGTTTTGTGAAAACACAAGCTTTGTTTGAAAATGTGAGGTGGCATCGCACGTGACAACTTACATGTTCTTGAAAATTAAAACGAACGAAACACTTGAACATGGAAACCAACTCTTGAAAAGCAAAAACACATGTGGCACACAGGGACATTTCTTGCAAAGTTGAGGTGGCAACACATTTCCTAATATTTTTTTTTGAAGCAAACCAAAGCAACCCTTATGTTCTTCAAATATGTATGATCATTTTTCGTTTAATAAGAATTAAATGCGAGACGCCATTGGTTTTGTTGTTTGTTTAAACAGGTAAAATGTTGAGCGTGCCCCTTACGCTAATGATATCTTAGCGCCAAAGCTATCTATCCGCGATGTCATGGCCATTTCGACCGAGCGGATTGGGCCCACGCCGCTTTACTCCTTCGCTGCTCAAACTTCCTCCAAAACAACTACTAAACGACAGCCAGAACAGCGCGAAGTTCCTCCGAGATGGACCGACCATCCGCGGAGAACGATCATTCAGAAGCCCAGTCTCGGCGCGGGGCGGAATCCAAAAAATGATAGCAAAAGAGTAAACGAAGCTACGGCATTAACATGTTCTCAAGCGAGGACATCCTAGCCTTATGGCAGAGAGAACGCAAATCCTCTCTTGTGCAACAGTAAGCAATCACACCGCCTAACTAACCACGCCTCTTCTGTTGCGAAGCAGATACCGAAGGCGTCTCAGCTCTTCAAAATGCTCGCCGCGCGTCTCGATAATAAGGGACATATATCGTCCACGGCTTTCAAAACACTCTTCACTACCCTCAACGTGGCAATCAAATGGGCAGCGACGATAAGATGTGTTGGTCAAACGGGGGCGCTATTAAACTGCATCAGAGCAAGGTCTATATTCAGATCCATCGTCCCGCCGGAGGACAAATCGGAGATTTAAGAGCGACGGCGCCCCAACAAGCTTTCAAGGAAGACGCAACCGGTGCCCGTGAAGTATGGTCGTCCGAATGCGCTTACAGCCCCCCCACGGGCCACATGCCGTGGACGCGTGGAAGCGGGCTTTCGGAAGTTCGTATCCGCGTAAAGCCCGAGGCCGCGTCCAAGCTCGTCTTCAACTGGCCCTGGAGAGCTGAATGACGTCGCTTGCTACCGGACGATCTAATCTCATCAGCTGACATACGGCGAAGCTCGAGAGCATCCTGATCTACGACAGACCACGCAAGTGAGGGAGACAGAGCCATTCGACGGGCGAGAGCAGATCGTCTGATGCCTGTTCACGCGTACAGCGAAGACTTCCGGCGTCGGCGTGCGCTGAGAACCCCAGCGGCGAGACGTGTCGCGTGAGATCGGACCAGGAAGACGTGACGATATCCCCCGACGTGAAGTCGTCGACGCACGACCAACGCGACGTCCCGTTACTAGACCTAGGGTCCTATCGAGCCACGCGGCACCAGAGGACCGATTGGTGCCACGGGAAGCACTCACGCTATCTTGAGCTGATGGC